ATGTGTGCATTTTGTACTGTTCTGCCAGTCCCATACTTTGTGAATGTGTATTAAACAAAAGGCCTTCTGGTTTGATGTGGAAATTCACAGCTTTCAGGTAGACACGACTTACTTACAGAAGGCCTTGGCGGGAGGTGGATCAGCCTAGGAGCACTGCCGCCTAACAGCCCCATTTGGAGGGAAATTGCCTAGTAACATGGTTAAGTATTTTGCAATAGCTGCACAATTCTTTCTGCTCTTTTTAACACTTGCATTTTTAAAGCCTTACACTAGCTCTAGCAGAACAACTGCAGTGTTTTATAAGGGAAACAATTCTAGTGTTGTGGTGTCTCGTATTCAGAACACTTGGGCTGCAACAGCGCTGCTGTGAACTATGGTTGCTTTGTTTTATGAGTGTGTTTGGATTAGAAAACAAAACTATTTCATGATGGCCTGCTCAGGGAGTGGAAGCAGAGGAAATAGAGATGAGATGCGCTCCGTGTTTGCTTACTCCCAGAGGATCTTCATGGAGGAAGCATGGTCTGCAGGACTGGGATCATAAGCGTGCAGGAGCTGATGCCGATGAAGCCACACAGCTGTTTGTGCATCGCCATTCCCAAGCACCATCGCCTGTTTTTCTTTCTTACCCAAGCACATTTGACAGCTGTAGCATGAAAAAGGTTTTTAGAAAGTTACTGTAGATGAAGTGTCACAACTTGGCATTGAGGATCACTCAAAACAGTTTTCCTAGGTTAGATCAAGTGACTATAACTTCCTTTCTCCTTTTGCAGATGACCGATGTGTTGTTCTGTAGATGCAGATCATTGGGTTTATTGCATTTCTATCACTGTGCCCTCCCTGTTTGTCTAGTGGACAGTGCAATGGAGTGGCCAACATTCCTTACAGAATATAGCACCCACCCATCCTTTTGGAAGCTCTAGAACACTAGGACATTGGAGCAGCATGTGTCCACAAATACTGCAGTTTAGAGAAGAAAAAAAATAACCTAATAAAAAGCTGTGTCACTGAAAAAAACAACCCCAACAGATTTTCAAACTATGAAGCTGCTCCTTCCCCAAGGCCTTTTCTATGAATACATACACCTAGGTATGTGGAAAACCATGAATGCACAGTGAGAGAGCACAAAGTCACAGTAGTAGAATTCCAGGTCTCTTTCTTTGGGATTTAAAATAGGAAAATATTGACAAATACCACAGTAAAGAAATTAAACTTGGTCTTCAGAACTAGAGGAAAGTCAAAGTCTTAACATGCCAAGTGTTAGCGAAGGCTCACACTGGTTTTTATTGCAGTCTGTCTCCATGCGAACTGTCAGTCACTGAGATACAGGGTGTTTCAAAACACATCATCTGCATTTTAAGCATTATAACAACTGAGAGGATTCCTGTGTATTTCCCTAGTAGTGATCCAAGTTGGGAAATAAGTGACCAAGCATTGACCTCTCTAACTACTTCCACTTAACTGGCATCCTTTCTAAATCTGGATATGGAATTTTTGCAAATCCTGCCCTTAGGTTCTGTATATACGATAGGAACGTTCTCATCCTTTGTTAAAAAAAAGGCCATAAAACACTGGAAAAGTGGTTGGTTGGTTGGATTTTGGTTTTTTTTTGTTGTTTTCTTTTCATGACTCCAAACACTACATATCCAGCTATCTTGAGAGTTTATGTACTACCTGTGCTGTGAGCTCTTTTCTTACCACCTCACTTCAGCTTAACTAAAGCTATTTTTAAGTAGCAATAAAATGATTCAGAAAAGTTTTCTCAATTAGAGAGAAAACAGAGAATGAAAGAATTTAACTAGCTCTTTTCCTGGTTATTCTGTCACTTACTTGCATTTTCCTTTGGCAATACTGTAGCAGTTTCTTCATTGGAGATTTTGCAATACTGTATTAGTTTCTTGGGTTTAGACACTTCAGTTGAGAATGCTGACTTTGAATGAGTATCAGATTTTTTTGGCACTATCAACTCAAGTCCTTTTCATGCAGCCCCACTAATGAACTCTTGCAAGTGCCATATTGTCATTCTTAATTACTCAGTTGTTGTAACAAAAACAGAATTAGTCCATGATACCATTTCAAATTCTGAGAAAGTAAGATAAGTCAACAGGCTGAGGCTTAAAAAACCTGCTTCTGCAACAAAGGAGGTTCAGGAACAAAGGAAGTTCAGCAACATGGTATTGTGAAACCAGAGCATCTTTTCTTTTGAGTCCTTAGTTAAAAGCAAGGCGTATTGTTTGCTGATGCAGAAGCGATCTATGCCAAATGAAGGTTGATCGTTACCTTGTAGGAAATCAAGATTCATTTTGCTAATATGTGCATGTAAGGATCAGGGGGGTAAAAATCAGATTTTGACTACCATTGGAAAACACCAAATAAAACAAGTCGACAAGTAAGACATTTTAGACTTGATTATTTTGTGGTTTGTTTTTTTTTTTATGTTGGAAGTAAACTGCAAATGGTGGCCTATACCCTTATTATATTGTGCTAGGCTGGATGGGGCTTGGAGCAACATGGTCTAGTGGAAGGTATCCCTGCTCGTGGAACTGGATGGTCTTTGAGGTCCCTTCCAACCCAAATCAGTCTGTGATTCTATGAGACATCACCTACACTAAAAACTTTATCTAGTTTATCTAAAAACCAAACCAAACTGGGCTTTGTGAGAAAATAATTACCATTATGAAAACTTTAATTTAATGGTAAAGTTAGGGATTTGCTCAAACACATACACACACACTGTCCTCCGGTCATCCAGCAATTTGACTATAGGTCCCTATGTCCCTGGCCATGCCCAGCATGGCTGTATTTTGGTCCTTTTCCTGCAGTTTCCTTTGGATTTTCACATCCCATGCAGTGCAAACAAAGCTTTTAACCATTGCACAATGATGCAGTGCTTAGTCTTGCAGCCCAGAAAGGTGGTTTATATTTCAAACTAGCTAGTTCTGACTCATACTTCTTGTAGGAATAAAATTCTTTCTTCCCAACTGCACACCATCTGGCAGTCAAAAGATCTCTAATATAACACCCACTTAGTTCAGCATATGGGATCTCTCAGCAAATGGACATTCCTTTTTAACAGAACTGCTTCACCTGGGGAATACTCCAAATTGCCCATTTTACTTTGTCCTCTGCTGCGGGGCAAAATGACATGAACACCTCCTGTTGATTTCCTATTTCCCACTTTTTTGAAGAACCAGCGTTCTCTGTGTTGCTATATAAAGCCTATGAATTACTACATTTTTTTCTCAGAAAATAAGAAAAATCAAACATTTCTTGTTTAAAACTCTTTGAGGGGAAAGCTGCCTGTGCAAGGGGACAAAAACCAAGCAGACAGGAGTGTTTACCAGCTTTAAAAGCTGCCTTCCATTTTAATGAAGCAACAATAAAAATACTTTAATCTACAGTGACTGAAAAAGTGTAATTCAGCTCTGAAAAAAAGACTAAAATGGCAAAGTGTCTGATGCTGACCATTCACTTAACTAACTTTACAAGCAAAAAATGTTTCAGTTGATTACCAAGGCTTCATCCTATTCTGGGACACCGGATTCAGGTTGTTCCCAGTCTCACATGTCATCCACAATAAGAAAATCCTACAGGTCAAATTTAACTGCCTGCTTCTTTACACATTCCCTTTATGCTCAGCACAGTCAAAACCAAAGAGCAAAGCAAAAGAAGATCCAGGCTTTGAATCGGAAGTGAATAGTTCTGCCTAAGGTATAGCAGCCGGAGAACAGGGTTCTGCTCTTTCCTCAACTAGTTCAATACTGCCTTATTAAAAAATAATGATGGGATTAGTTGTTAAATCAACAGGAAAAAGTCTGATTATCGGGAAGCTGACTGACTACAAAGACAGTCACCTCTTCAATATAAAACTATGCTTTAACTTAACATGTACGAGCTATACAACACCTGTGGAAATGTGCATGCTAAGTATGTACAAAAAATCCACTGTGCTTACACACAGAACAGCAGGACCCTTTCCCCAGTGCAGGTCAGAGGCAGTGCGCTGAGCTGTGTTGAAACCTGTGCATAAACAGCCAGTCAGTTGAAATGACTGGTGGTGTTCAATGCAAAACCGAATTCCAGGGTTTTAGATCTAGGAATTTAAGCTTCAAGAATTCCAGACTGCTCAAGCTAATCCAGTCATCACTTCTACAATAATTATAGAGGAAATGTTGTGATTATTAGCACCAGTAAAAAGAAAAACTTCAAAAGATTTTCTTTAGCACTGCATTGTAGAGATAATGCGCTTTGCTTTAATATACAGTTAAAATGTCAAGGAAATCCAAAATATGGAAGAGTTTAATTCGATACCAGCTCAACATATTTTGGCAATGTAAAATTCGCTGCTGGCACACTGTTCAGCAGAGCCATTTTTACAGGAAAACATCTTTCATCTATTTATAAAAAGCCTGAGGTTGATTAAGAGATGCAACATTGCAAGCCTACCTAAACTTTGCTCTTGTAGGTGAGTACCTATTATATTCACTATAATAAAAAGGACATGTTGAAATACCCTGCACAGCACAGGAAATTTGTAAGACTGGATGCAGCACATGAGCCTTTCTGGTTGAAGCTGCAAAAGTACTCAGTGGCTCACCTTGCTCATTAACTATATGCTACACATAGTTAATGCAGAGAATGTGGAGAAACAGAGAAGCACCATGGCATATTAAGAACAAATGTACAGTAATAAACAAATACTCAGAGACAGTAAAACCACAATCAGCACACAGAAGCAATTGGCTCTTGTGAACAGTGCTTAATTCCCACCAGCAGAAGTTGGAGCAACACAAGCTGGAGCCAAAAAGCAGAGCTGCAGAGTCTAAGTGCGTAAGTACCTAAGTGCCAGATTTTTATGAAAGACAGCAAGGAAAACAGTCCAGGGAAAACTTTCAGCCTGCACCATCTCTGGACCTTCCAAGAAGGCGACTGAATAAGTTTTTAAAAGGTTGGATGCTACAATAATCAAATCTTGCTGATAGGAGTATTTTTTTTGGGGGGGGGGGGGGGGAGATAACAGAAAGTTGAGAACATGCACTTTATACAAAACCACAAATTATTCACTTTACAGAAAAAACTGCTAGCAGCAATTTAAAAAACAAAAAGCCAAGAGGCTTTATTTCAAGAAAACCAATTAAGATCGTATTGTTTAAAAACTTTGTCAAACAAAGTCTTTAAAAGTTAAGGGCTTCAAAAGAGTTTGGACAGGTAGGATCCATTTCCTGAACTTACAGCTTAAAACCACGGAGTTTGCATATGTTAAACAATCACACACACGTGTATAAATGCACACAGCCTTGCATTTTGTGTGTACACTGTAAAACAAAACACCAAAACACACTTAACAAAATGTGGAGCTATACAGACTATACAATTTACACAGCTGGGTGTCATTCCAACCCCAGATATCACCATCTGCTAGAAAACGAATTTTTACTTTGTACAAGACCTTGATATGAATAAGTTTACCCCTTGCTCAGGAGGCTGAAACTGAACAATAAGCTAAACAGTCAAGAGACTTTATTTCAACTTGTACAAAAGGCATTAAAAAACCTAAAATACATGCTTTACTGAATATATTACATCATATGTGTCAGTGTGGTGCACTTGATAAATCCAGCCTAACTTCATCCACTTTTAATGGCATATTTAGTCAAAATGTGAAACTGACTACACTGGAAAACATTTATTTTAAAATCAATTTCCAAGTGCATTAATTACCTAAAAAAAATAAATTGCTCTAGGAAAAAACATTTTTTTTTACTGAGTGAAATAAGGAGCTCCCATTCAGAAAAACATTCTGTATTCTGTGTAAGCATCATGTGGCATTTCATCTGATTCCCTCAACCAGGCATGGTACCCGAGGCAGTGTGAGAGGCATTTCTTGTCTGCTTGGCAGATGGATTCCTTTTTAAGATGGTTAAATTGTTAGTTGCTCAAAACAAAGTTTAATTTCACAATTGATGATTCAGCTAGACCGTCAAAACACATGCGGAAACTGCCAACAAGAAAATACATCACATCTATTGAAGCTCTTTTTGGCCTCATCACGGTAATACCAGACACAGAGTAAGGCATGTAGATCATAGCAATTACAAGTCACTCACAGTCCTTTTGTGATGGGAAAAGCATTTCACCCTCCTCTCTGTGTTACCTGACGCAAATGTTTTTACATGGCTTTTGTTACACAGAGGTGTGCACTGGCGTGGCTGAATGGGAAGGAGATGAACCTCTATCAGAGGAGGAAGAAATGGATCGTGTGGCAGCTTCCCGCTGCAAATCTTCAACCTTCTTTTGAAGCTCTGTCCGGATGGCAAGGAGCTCTTTCAAATTTTGATGGATTGGGACCTGTAGGGTAAAGAAACAACAGGCTTATTTTGACTGTTATAGTAAGTTATCTTCTCAAGCAATCCTTCCACTGTTTCCTTCAGTAATATAAGGAATCCAACACCTGTGAATTTCAATAGACCAGTATTTAGGGAGTGTTTCTTCACTCATTTGAAATGAAACATTTCGGCAAACTGCCCCTTTCTAGCAAATAATTGGCAAGAAACCTATACAAAAGACTGTTTGCAATGGTTCTGATAGGATACAAAACATATTCCAATAAATGCACCCCTATCTTTTATCAATACCACTTTCTGGCTGAACTTCATGTGTCTTTCCCGTGAACTATTTCCCCTGCCTGTTGGGACAGAACTTATTATGTACCAGAGTTAACAAAGCTGGCTCCATATGGAGCATCTTGTTACTCTTCTAACCAGGCATCTTTCCAAGAGTCTGACCCCTTCCAGCTTGTCAGTGAGAAAAGTGCAGCAGCCAAGTGAGTTGTGCTTCTGATGGACCTCCCAGAGTCAAACTCCAACAAACCTTTTATAGACGGGGGTTGTACACATTCTGCCTCTGCTTCTGACAGTACCCCAAAAAACACGAGAGGTACACCACTCTGCATCTGAGTTCTAGACATTTTTTATCTGGAACATTCAACTATACCATGGCCAAAGGAAGATGCAAGCCACACTGGTTTTTGCAGCTTGATCTGTTATCTCAGGCAAGTAGAGACTCCCCCCCATTCTTCCAAATGCCACAGAAAGGCCAAAAAAGTTTGAATGTAAATTGCTTTTAATTTATTTTATCCTGTATAAGCTCTAATTTTTTATAGCTTTTGGAAAGGGCATCATGGGAAAAGAATTTAATTAGACTGATGAGACAGTCATGGGGAAATGGAGCAATGGGACATGTATGGATTGCTAGACATTGGAACTTATACTCTGGGCTTCCGGAATGCCAGACTCCAGGGAACTGCATTCACCCACAATTACTTCCTACTGCTTAAAAGTGATTACAGGGCTGGGAGGCACACCTGAGCATGCAATTTTCACATGGTGCTATGTCAAAAAAGATATCAAAAGCCAGAAGGGGTTTCTCTTCTTGCTATTAACACGTAACTGAGTCACAATTTACCTTTTTGTGAATTCTGGCTTTTTAAACAAACTGCATCAAAAATCCATGCATCTGATTTTGGTATTTTTCAAAACCTAACATTTGTGTTTCTGAAACATGAAAATACAATTTCATTTCTAACTTTAGTTCTAACTTAAAAGAATAAAAAGTAACAAACAGTCTGGTTTAGGTCAACATTTTTCTGGCCACATACTTTTTTGTTTGTGTAAAAACTTCAGTGTATTCACAAAGTGCTGCTCGTGCACCCTGGCTGTCATCAATTCATCCAGCATGTCACCTACAGCAGTTCTAAAAGTGTAACTTTTTGAGTCTTCAGCAGAACCATCAGTGCACACCACCAAGTTCCCAATGATCCTGGAGTCCTGCCTTCACTATGCATGGAATTCTTTCTCTTCTTGCGATCTTCTCCTGCATCCACCACAGAAACTCTTTAACAAGACTACAGGCAACAGCTTCCTTCGCTAACCAGACACAAAGCACAACCTCCAGAGAGCCAATCTTATTTTTCTGAGGAGGTCTACAGAAAATGTACACTCCTAAAATATGACAAAACCGAGTCTGGTGATGAAGTTTGTCCAAGATGCTGTAATGCACACTATGGAAAATTCAGGTTTCAATGATGATCAAGGCTTTCTGGAATTAGCACCCCCCTACATTTTTTTTTTTCCTTAAATAAAAGATCCCTTCCTCATACACTCCTACTTCAGAGCTTTCCTTTATGAAGACGTCTTCCTGAAACACTTGGGTCTGTAACAGAGTGATTTACATTGGTATCATTACTCACGCAATCCCTGGGTCACGGAAGATTTGTACATCTGATTTCTGCACAGCTCAATCATGATTCAGTATAACAGGCCAATTCCTCTTAGACAACCTTGGGGTGTTCCTCTGCACAATGTTCAAACACTCATAAAAAGCAGTTTCATACAAATGGCTTTTGGGGAACCTACTACAAATCCTTTTGGGATACACTACAAAAAAGCCATTGCAGAACTTGGCATGCTGAGTAAGGTGCTCCAAGGAGGAAAAGTGTGGCTGCACATCTCAATCCTTCTTCTGCATTCCTCCAGAATCTAATTCAACAAGACACATCCTCAAACTCCGCCACAAGCGCTATTCCCCCCACACGTCCACCTCAAAGAACAGGTCTGTCTTTAAACTAATCAGCTAAATAACAATAATGACATTTTAAAAGTCTGTGTATATTCAACTCGCAAAAACCCTACAACTTTAAGACTGCAAAATTATGCTCTCAATAGATTAAGATGCATCAGAATGAAGATTGCTTCTCCAAACTCAAGTCGGCCATCCTGTACATTTGTATAAAACTGTTGGTTAAGTAAACATTAAAATACTAGCTTCCCTCTTGCATTGCTCATTTATTCAGTGCACAGTCTGATGCTACTTAATTCATGAGCAGTTACTCAATATTTAGCTTTCTTTGCAGTGTCTGACTCCATCCTTTATTTATTCTTCTGAACATAAAATGCTTAAGTTTCCTTTTCTACACTTTCATCTCATGTCAAGAAACAAATTTATTTCTGCAGCACCCTAATGAGGGATGGGAGTACTAACACTCCACTTTTACAAACAAGGATCTGGAGCAAGCATACCTTGGATCTTAAATTGGTTTAACAGAGGACTTAAGAATTCTGCAATTCAGCCTTGTGGGTATCAAGCAGGACACCCAGTAAATAGGGAGCACACCCACAGTGACCACACTGCTCCAGGTGATGCCCCTTACAACAGAGGAATCCTTTGGCAAAGGCAGGGAGAAACTTCACTTCCAGAAGAGCATCCTGCTACCTCAACCATGAAACAATTCTTTATCTGCCCCAGCCTGCTTTTCCCAGATTGTATTCCATGAGTTGAACAGAAAGCAAAGACCTCTAAAACTGGGAGCTCTATCCACTCCTAATTCCTATTCCCAGTTAGTCACAACTCTCTCATAGACTCTGTATCAAATCCATCTCTTAATCCTTTAATTCTCATTTATTCTCAGTCCTTGAGAATTCACTGAGATTGTTGCAGCCTCAGACCTCCAAATTGGATGAATTTCTTCCAGGATATGAGCAGGCACATTTCTGAAACACAATCTCTCTTCATAAAATCTTATGTTTGCCCTAGAGATGGAATACTTACAGAAAAACAGCCCTTACCCCAACAAAAGAAGTTTCATATGGGAAAACATTTTTTTAGCCACATTCTCATGAGCAACTGAGCCTTTTTGGATGAAGTTTTACAAAACAGTTCAGTCAATCATACATACTAGATGAGTCAACATAAAGCGGTAGAGTCCAGAAAAGTTGTAAGCAAGGCAGAGTAAGGTCTTATAATGGGCAAAGAAAAAAAAGGTCACCTTTAAAATGTTGCCCACCTTTTAACGCATGCACATTAGATATGAACTGTAAGACAGTTTTACATAAACATCATCATGCCACGTCATATGGTAGTGTAAGCATGAATGGTTTTCTAATGTCAAGTCATTCCCAGGAAAAGATTCTCGCTGCTTGCTGTTTAACAAAACATCATACAGAGAGATACACATCGACATAACACAGTAAGATTCCAAAACCAGTTTTCACACATTAAGCTTCCAATACAGACTTTAATTTTGTTCAATAACATGTTAAATTGAGCCTAGAGCTTAGCACTTTCAGAGTATTTTCAGGCAGCTGATACTACCTGATTTATTAGTGATAAACGCCCATGTTAAAACCACATACTCATGGAATGAGAAAAAAAGGTGGTACAGACAGCTAAAAGATACAAAAAAATATTACAGTTCTCATAAAAAGACCTGAAAAGCAGCCTCTGCTTTTCCCCAGATGTCTTCAATCCTGCTACTGTAACTTCCCTTTTTTGAACAAAGCTGCAAATTCAAATGCAGAAGAAAAGACCAACAGCGGTGATAGGGGGAAAAAGGAAGAAAATGCCCAAAACTGAGCCTCAATCTCAAATCATGCATATTTTTCATTCATTTTTATTTTAACAAGACTGTTAAGAGAACCAAATAGAACTGGAATTCTGCATCTTTCTGAAAGCCTCCTTCCATCTTGGAAGGAGGAGGAAGAATTAAGAGACTGAAGCATCTTTAATTCTGTAACAAAACCCATTAAAATAATTGTAAGAAAGAAGTTTAGCTTATTTTTATGTTTCCTAGAGACTTTTTCCTCAGGCAGACCTGTTGCTGCCAGTGTTTCCTCGTACCATGCTGTGCATGTTCTTACAGATAACTATCTCCATTTTTGTCACCTCACACCATTATATTTCAGTGTGTGATTCCTCTCTCAAAGCTTTCTTCATGAGGAAATGGGTCCAGCAGCCTTCACAATAACACCTATAATGGCTTGCTGTGAACAAGGTTCTCCATTATTTTGCTACTGTTTAGATTGAAAGGAAGTGGGAGAGTGACAGATTTTGTAAGGAACAAGAGTTTGGAGAAGAATGTTTATTAAAAGATCTTGTTACCACCTTAACCCTAGAAGTGTAGGCTTGCACAGCACAAGTAGTGTCTCCATGGCAAGCTTTTATTACAGTCTCGTTGAGAAATCATGTAATTGATTTGACTGAGATGAGTTTGTTGGGAGCCTGACAGCAGGTGTAGTTTTCTACTCTCTCATCCTGCCTTCTCAAATTAGGAGTGGAAGCTCAAACGAGGACTCTGAACCCACCACTCAGTCGCATTCATGTTATTTTTTCTGCTCTACTTCACTGTAATCAATACCAGGTTTTCAGAAGAGTGTGCATCCTTCCCTGTGTCACACTAGCGTCCCAGTGTGTTGCCACAGTAATGCTGCTAGGCAACTCCCAGCCACTACCACCAGGTCCCCATCACTTCTCTCCATACTCGAGGGGAAAGCAAAGCCCTACTTCTGCTGCAC